GCGCGGGGCTGCGCACGGGCTTCCTCCCGGCCCTCCTCCTCCTCAGCCCTGGGTCCCAGCACCGGGAAGGGCTCCGGGTGGGGGGCAGTTTTGATTGCAGGTGACCTGCTGTTTCAAGCAGCTGGATGTGAGGAGCTGTTGAAGCCTGGCGCGTGTCGGCCTGGCCAGCCCACACGGGAGGCGTCACCGGGCTAAATCCCTAGATTTTCCCCATCCAATTGGGTTATCCAGGGAAAGGAAACCTGCTCTGGGGCTGCGCAGGGGTGGAAGGAAAAAGGAGCAGCAGTCCCATCCGCGTGGCCCCGCTGAGGCCGCGGCAGCTCATTGCACGAGGCCATTGCATTGCTCCGTCCCCCGCGACGGCCGTGCAGGTGCCGAGGGACATGCCCAGCATTGCAAGTCCTCCCTCCCCACACGCCTAATTCCTCGCCAGATAGCGAGAAAGGCTCTTTAATTTCCATTAGCCGCTCCGCTCCGCTCTGCACGTCAAAGCTTGCTGGGGTGCAAAAAGCTCCATTAATTTGCACAGCTGCTTCCCTAAGGAGCTTGCAGGTGACAGATTCACAGGGCTGCGACCAGAAAAGGCTTTTAAAAATTATTATTTTCTTTTTTTGCTGAATAAAAAGGACGGGGTGGGGGGGAACCACAAAGGAATGAAAGCCAAGCAGCGAGGTGAGCGGGTTGGTGGCATTAAATATTAACGGCAGCCGGGCTTTGATGGGGCTCTGGGATGGCAAAGAAAGGGGTCGCTTTGCTGCTGAAGCTGCCGGCGAGGTGCCGAGATGATGCTGGGGTAGGAGGGGGCGGCTCGAGGCAGAAAGATCCCGTCTCCGCTCTCGGCCCTCCCCTCGCTCCGCATCCGCGCTGCCCTCGCCTGCCCGCGCTGGTTCCTGACTCCGGGTGCTCCTGCGGCTCCGGAGCCCTGCTTGGCTCTAAAGGTTAAGGCGGGCAGCGCTGCTCCTTCGCCCTCCGGCCCTTCCCACGATCAAACGGAGCTGCGAGCGGCAAAGAGCAGGTAGAAATGTCAGGGCAACATGCAACGGTCCGAAAAAAACCCCAGATTGCTCTGCGGCTGCTTAAAATAGTGCAGGGCGTCCGTCGGAGGAACGGGTTAACCCTCCTGTTAAAACCCTCCGTTGTTTCGCACGGTTGCAAAAGGCAGCTGCAGCTTTGGGGAGCAGCCCCGGTGCTGCTGGCAGCCCGGCTGGTGGATGCAGCCCAAGCACCAGGGTCCCCAGCGCCCCTGAGCGCCGTCCCCGTCCTGGCTGGCAGCGGATACCCCCGGGCGAGGTGCAGGGGGCACCGGGAAAAGATGCCAGTGGGGCCCATGGCCTGGGCCTCCCTGCATGGCGATGAGGACCTTTCTGGTGTCCCCACCTAGCAGGGCTGCCACCCTGCCTGCCTCTGCAGCAGCAGCAACGCGTGTCGGCTGTGGGGTGCTCGAGCTGTTAAATGGGATGATGCAAAGAGCACTGGCATCGCTCTGACTTAGTTTGCTGGGAAATTTGGGTAGAAATTGCGGTTCGTGCTGGCTGCCTGAAGCGGGAGGGAGCTTCTGGTGGGGCTGAAGCAGTGCCTTGGTGTCACCGAACTGCAACAAAGCTGTGGTAGGTGTCGTTAGGTTTCAGAGTGAACAGACCGTTCTGTGGAGCCTCGCGGGGGCTGTTTGCCGCATCCTGAGCAGCTCCCTCGGGCCGGGCGGCTCTTCCGCGGTGCCAGGGTGGGCGCAGGGTGGCAGCCCCCCCTGTCTTGCAGGTCCTCGCTGACCTGCCCGCACTGCCGCAAGCAGAGCAACACCTTCGACCCCTTCCTGTGCGTCTCGCTGCCGATCCCCCCGCGCCAGACCAGGTGAGCGCGGCCCCACGGAGCCCCGCGCGGCCCCTGCGGCACCGCGCTCACGTGTCCCCGCCGCCCCGTGTCTCCACCAGGCCGCTCAACGTCAACTTGGTCTTCCAGTGCAAGAGCCTGCGGTTTGTGCGCGTGGGCCTG